TTATTAATAAATATATTTCTTTTCCCTTTGTTGTATGAAAAGCACAATAAAGATGTGAACCAACGACCACTGCTAAAACCTTTCTCTAATGGACAATTTCCCAAGAATCACTCAGATGTCAAAATTCCACTTCCAGTAACATAAAAACTGAATGTTTCATCAACCGTCAGAGGGCAAGCACTCTATTTCTTATATAAAGCAAGAGTTATATTATATAAAGAAAAAATAACTGTGCCTCTAATTCAACAAGATCCTTTTACAGAGCTGACTCAGAAATTTAGACCAGTACACATACCATACTGAACTGACGCTGGAGAACCAGAGCACATCCTTAGCTTTAAGCAACTGCAGATGCACTTTGCCAGACAGGTATGTAATAGCTCTTACGCTTAGGTACTCAGCTGAACTCGGCCCGCAAGATTAAATGGCACTAATAAAAATGGTGTCCTCAGCCTGTCCTCTGTCCCCAGCATCCAATTCCCAACTCTGTGCCCATCTCAGTTCCATCAGCACAAATGTTTGCACACCAAACCAGGGAACCTGTCTGCCTAAAAAAATATTCAACAAAATAAAAACTTTATTTTTCCATCAGATCAGTTTCTCAAAGCAGTAATGCCCTGCTTTTGCTGTCACCATTCAAGGAAAAATACAAAAATACAAAGCATAATTGAGCCAGCTTAGGCAACAGTCCCACTGAATTTGCAGCCTATCCAAGGTAGGCGATCAGTTCCAGCTTTCTGGATGTTCAGCATAGTCAACAACTTCAGCTACACCCTGCCTCCCTTAATACTTATTTTGCACAGACATATGGCAATAAAAGTCACCAAACTCTTGCGCATCAGAGGAACAGTAATACCACTGTATTAGCCACTCTGTGTAACCTAATGGGCCCAAGTGACAGATAAGCAACATTTTCTGGGCACTAATATATGCAGCAATGATGTCATTTAAAGAAGATTTTGTGCGCCTGGAGATATATTTGGGGTTTTTCCTTCAACTGCAACAGCTGGCCTAATAAAACCTCCCCTGGTCTTCCTTCAGTCATATTCTTAGACTAACACAGCTACAATAATATCACTACTATTTTATCTTAAGGCTGTTTTGTTCTTCAGTGAAGAATTTAAAGCTTTAGAATCTTATTCGGACAAACTGCTTTCTCTCTGACAAACTGCTTTCTCTCTGAGTAACTCTATTCACAACTGATCCACTCCTGTAGCACCTTTGGGTATACGCCTTCAACACTACATCCTCTGTTACAGGGCAGTTTCCTTGCTCCAGGCCCATAACAGTTTTGCTTACATATTTGTTCACAAAGAACAAATGACTAACAAATTATATAACTTGACTGTAAAGAATGGATGGCCACATACTAAATTTGAAGATTTTTGCAAGAGGAAATACACTGCATGCTCAGCAAGTTTGGGGTTTTTTTTGCTGTTCCATTTATCAAGTAAAAAAGCATGAAAAATGCAAATATATCTTTAAAAGACAGGAAAAAGATTAAAAATTAACAATAAATTGATGCACTTCAAGTAATGCACTACAGCCTTTCTCCTTTTCCCTCACTGTATCCAGTCTGATAGTGTCATACCTGTTCCTGATCACCCCCCATTCCCTCTAACTTCAGCAACTCCCAGTGTCAAGCATCATTCTGCGTGCTGTGCAGATAGAGAAATCCACATATTTTCACATGCTTGGAATTACCAGTTGGTTGTCTGGTTTTTAATGTTGGAAAGGACAACAATAGACAGGTTGAAACTCATGCAAGGCTCACTGAACTCATAGAATCATAGAATCATTAAGGTTGGAAGAGACCTCTAAGATCATTGAGTCCAACCATCGACCCAACACCACCATGCCCACTAAACCATGTCCCTAAGCGCCTCACCTACACGTCTTTTAAATACCTCCAGGGATGGAGACTCAACCACTTCCCTGGGCAGCCTCTTCCAATGCTTAAACA